TCAGCTTTCAATCACTTAACCATGAGTCATTAAGTATACCATTAAACATATCACTTTAATCACACTCGCTGTCTTTTAAAAAACTAATGAATAATTATAATCCCATGAAGAACTAATGGCTCTCGGCTGCCTGAATACCTTCACTGCTGATCCCTACCTGCTTTCTCCCAAAGCCCTGCAGAGAGCCAAGAAGATGTGGTTGTGGTTGATTACCTCATTCATTCACTCAGCTTGGATTTTTGTTCAATCCCCTCAAGGCAACTTATGCTTTCTCTGCTTTGGGATTGGAACCTTAACATGGTTTACATTAAAGCAAAATAACTAACTAGCACTATAGTGTCAATGAATTTTGATTTTTATTAATATTATTTCACTTTCAGGGGAGCCCTAAAATTCCTGTAGTCATCTTCTACTGCCTCATCTCCTTTAAACCCATCAAAAAAGAAGCAGGGAAGAGTCTACACGTTGAAGAAACCAGAGAAATTGGTCCCATCAGGTAGTCAATGGATAAAGGCTCCATGCCAAAGAAAGAACAATTAGCTAAGGTCTATCTACGAGAGACTCACCTCCAACATTCTCTACTACATAATTATAGCTGCCAAAAGAACACAATACCCTGGTGGAAATTTTTGAAGATGAAATGTAAGATATGCCATTTGGTAAATAAAAGGGGTAGAGAGAAGATCTTCAAAGACTTGGTTTCTCTTAAGGTGTATATGCAAAGTCAGAATGATTAGAAAACAAAGTGATTTTATGATTAAAATAAACCAATATTTTTCAACAGATTAACTTTCCTATCATTGCAAAATTGCCAACAGTATTTTTATTTAAAAATTCATATCCACTAGGATCAAACAGAATTTGACAACAAAGCAGTGAATAGGTCTGGACTCAGAAAGACGTTAGCTCAAATTCAGCCTGATATTTACTAGCTACATGACCCAGGGCAAGTCACTTACCTTCCGTCTACCTCAGTTTCCTCAACTGTAAATTGAATATAATAGCACTTACCTTTCAGAGTAGTTGTGAGGATCAAAAGAGATAATACTTGTAAAAGTGAGTAGCAAAATTCCTGGTACACAGTAGGTTCTTAATAAATGCTCCTCCTTCCTTTCTTGTCCAAATAGTTACTATATTTACAGCTATGATACTTTATAATCTCAATTTCCCCAAAATTCATCCCCATCAAATAGAAGTCAAACTTTCTTTTTGGAAGAATCACTCTATAATTCATGTTGCAGTGTTGGTTTTGATGTATTTATGCCTTTCTCCAAATAAACTGTTAAGAGGTTGAAGAGCAGGAAGTATTTTATACTTATTTCCATACCCTGAAAAGAGTGGATACTTACATTAATCACTTTTTGATCTGAGGGGAAAAAAGGAAAAATAAACAACTTCTGTAATAGAAACTCAATAGAAATCCCAGAAGGAAGAAAAAAAAAATAAATAAAAGGAAAGAAAACTTTGTCAGACTGGCCAAACATCCTTACGACCTGTTCATAAACTCTCACTAATTAGACGTGTAAATGTCAGGTAAGTCAAAACAAAGAGTCCATAGATAAACCATCCTGATAGACAGAGACAGTATAACTATAGCATTACAAAACTGTAATCATAAAATATATTCTACCTATAATTATGAAAATGCTGAATATAAAATTATAAAACTTTACTCTGATACAGAGGGCTCAAACATGTGACTGATCAATCCACAGCACTCCCTACTATGGCCTAAACCAGATTAAAATAGAATTGGGAAATATTTAACAAAATAAAATATAAATTATATTAAATTTTAAAACCAAGTCAATTGGCAGCCCACCAGGATCCTTACATACAGATTAGTGGTCCCCATTTATATTTGAGTTTATGCCAGTGATTTAGTCTAAATCCTTAATTTTATAGATGACGAAACTGAGTCCCAGAAAGATGAAGTGACTTACTCAAGGTCACATAAGTAGTAAGTGTCAGAGCTAGTATCTGAACAAATGTCCTGACTCCAAAATGAAAAGTCTTTCACTAGAAGATACCTATGGTGCCTTCTAACTCTAACTTTCTATAATTCTAAGTCTGATAATGGATATGAATAATAAAAACTGACACTTTCACAGCACTTTAAAAGTCACAAAACATTTTACATAAACCATGCAAGTATAAATGCTTAGGTGACTTGCCCAAGGTCACATAGCTAGTGTCAGAAGCAGGACTTTTAGCAGGAAGCTAAGTCTTCCTGACTGCCAGTGCCACACTCTCTACACTATACCACTACCTCTCAAATCTCAACAATAATTTGCATTTCTCTAATCAATAATGATTTAGAGCCTTCTTTCATATGAGTATAGATCGCTTTGATTTCTTCCTCTGAAAACTCCCTGTTCATATCCTATGACCATTTACCAACTAGGTAACGGCTCTTATTTTTATATATTTGGCTTCATACCCTACACATTTGAGAAATGAGGCCTTTATCAGAGAAACTTACTCTACAGTTTTTTTTATATTATTTCATTTTTTATGATACCTTTTAGCAAAACGCAGATTCCCTGATTATCTCTTTTAATCTATTTTGGCTTTTGCTTTATCTGAAATCATGATTGCTACTCCCTCCTTTTTCTTTTTTACTTCAGCAGAAGTATAATAAATTCTGTTCCAGTCCTTTATTTTAACTCTGTGTGTGTCTTTCTAATTCAAGTATGTCTATTATAACCAATATATTACTGGATTCTGGTTTCAAAGTTATTCTGCTATCTGTTTCCATTGTATGGGCGAGCTCATCCCATTCACATCCATAGTTATGATTACCAATTGTGTATTTCCCTCCATCCCAGTTTGAAAGCTGTAAAAAATTTTGATATTACTTCATTGTCTGTGGTACCTTTAAGCAATCTCATTTAAGCATCTCATTTTCTTTTGTTTATCCTTCTCTCTCTCTTTTGCTTCTGACCACTGCCTCCCTTAATCCACCCTCCTTTTCATCACTCACTCCACTTCCTATAACTCTTATTCCCTTTTAGTATTTTCTTACTGGGTAAGAAAGATTTCTACACCCAATTGTGTATATAATCTTCTCTCTTTGAACTAATTTGATGTGAATGATGTTTAAGCATTGCCCACCTCTCCCCAGTTTCCCCCTCCACTATAGAAGCTGTTCTTGGCAAGCCTTTTTATGTGAGAAAATTTTATTCTACCTTTCCCTTCCCCCTTCTCCTAATGCATCCCTCTTTCTCACCTGTTCACGTTATCTTTGAGATCATCCCAACATAATCAACTCACATTTGTGCCTCTATCCATTTAGACTCCTTCTAACTACCCTAATAATGATAAAGTTCTTAGGAGTTACATGTATCATGTTCCCATACAGGAATGTAAACCATTTAATTTTATTGAGTCTCTTAGTATTACTCATTCATGTTTACCTTTTTATGCTTCTCTTAAGTCTTGTGTTTAAATGTCAGATTTTTCTATTCAGCTCCAGTTTTTTCATCAGAAATGCTAGAAAGTACTCTATTTAAATAAATATCCACTTTCTCCCCAGAAGGATTACATTCAATTTTGCTGGGTAGGTGATTCTTGGTTGTAATCCTAGCTCCTTTGCCTTCTGGAATATCATATTCCAAGCCCTCTGCTTCTTTAATGTGGAAGTTGTTAAATCTTGTGTTATCCTGACTACGGCTCCATGGTATTTGAACTGTTTCTTTCTGGCTGCTTACAGTGTTTTCTCTTTGACATGGGAGCTCTGGAATTTGGTTATAATATTCCTGGGAGTTTTCATTTTGGGATATCTTTCAAGAGGTGATCAGTGGATTCTTTCAATTTCTCTTTTACCCTCTAGTTCTAGAATATCAGAGCAGTTTTCCTTGATTATTTCTTCAAATATGCTGTCTGGGCTCTTCTCTCATCCCATACAGCATATGTCATTTCTGACAGGAATGAGGTGGTACCTCAGGAGCTTCTCTGATAAAGTCCTCATTTCTCAGATATAGGAAACTGAGTCAAATTTATAAAAAATAAGAGCCATTCCTCAACTGATAAATATTTAAAGGATATGAACAGGCACTTTTCAGAAGAACAAATCAAAACCTATCTATACTTATATGAAAAAAATGCTCTAAGTAACTATTGACTAGAGAAATGCAAATTAAAACAACTCTGAGGTACCACCTCATTCCTATTAGAAATGACATATGCTGCAGGGGATAAGAGAAAATAGGTACACTAATAAACTGCTGGTGGAGATGTGAACTAGTCTATTCTGGAGCATAATTTGGAACTATGCCCAAAGGGCTATAAAACTGCATATCCTTTGACCCAGCAATACCACCTGTACCCCAAAGAGATCAAAGAGAAAGGAAAAGGACACACATACATATACACATATAAATCAGCTCTTTCTGTGGTAGCTAAAAATTGGAAATCAAGGGAATGTTCATCAGTTGGGGGATGGCTGAACAAATTTGTGGCATATGGTTGTGATGGAGTACTAATTTGCTATAAGAAATGACAAGGGGAGTGGTTTAAGAAAAAACATTGCAAGGCTTATATGAACTGATGAAAAGTGAAATAAGAAGAACCAGCTGATCATCGTACACAGTAAGAGCAATGTTGTACTGATGACCAATGGTGAAAAACTTGGCTACTCTGATCAATACAATGACATGAGATCATTCCAAAGGCCTCATGAAGAAGAAATGCTATCTACCTCCAAGAGATAACTGATGATTCTGAGTATAAAATGAAGTATAATTTTCTCACTTTATTTTTTTTTTGCCTTTTGTTGGAGATATGGCTAATATGAAATTTTTTGCATGATCTGCATGATATAATTGATATCATTTTGCTTCCCTCCTCAATGGGTAGGAGGGAGAGAATTTGGAACTCAAAATTTAAAAAGTAAAGAATGTTAGAGCAATTAATAAATTTTTTAAAAGAACAAAAAAAACCTACATGAATGAAAACTATCATTTCTAGTATGTCCATTTTATTTTTTTAAAAAGTCTTACCTAAATCCTCAGTTCATGTAAAAAGTCCAGTTCTCCAAAATTACCTTTAAAGAATATGGAAGATCTCCAGTAGCCATGCCTGAAACAATGAGAAAAACCACTAAAAATCAATATGTTATGGAAATATATACTCATGCTCAGTTTTTAAAGAATACTAAATACAGACATTTTTCCTTCATACTAAGCATAGAAGGAAACAGCTCAGGAAACAATGAATTTCCATCTCCAAATAGGAGTTGGGAATTTGCTTTACCAACAGGGAATTGATATCTTAAGATATTCATTTTGGAAACTAAAATTATATTGTTTTTGGCACAGAGGCAAAACATAATTTTTTATCTATGTGTCAGGAAGGAGAATGAGTCTGAATGAAAATGAAGTATGAGAAAATATATCCTTTATCTCCCTGCAAATGTAAATGGGATGAACCATTAAACTTCTCAATATTCATTTACCTCTGATAAAGAATTTGTCTTTGTTTTCCTTTTGAATTAAGGCCTCCCAGAAAAATAAGGCTCATAATTCCCTCATGCTACAATTGCACTCCACCCCCAAACAAATAAACACATTTGTTCTATATTATCTAGGTATATACAACAGCCTACTTAGGAAGTCTCTCCACAAAAATACAACTTAAAGTCAACTGACACTTTTCATCTATTTGAGGAAACTCTAGGAAGATGGAATAATATACTGAGGTCAGAGACTGAGGTTTACAATTTTGAACACAGAAAACTATAGCCAATGGGACAAAATAAAGAGAACCAAGAACCAAAAATGTTGCTTAAAATCATGTCTACAGTTACTGAATTAGTAACAGGTGAGATTAGCCTTACAATTATGAAAACACCCACATGTACCTTATAGAAATAAGTATTCCCCAACTCACCCATACTTACCTCAGTCCTTCCAGAAGTCAAATGAGAAACAAACAAAAAAGAGTATTGTAGACACAAGATACGTTACTTTATTTTTAAAGATATCTCAATGAATGTGGAAGGGCAACACAATTACCTCACAAGAATATAAGTGTTTGTCAAATGGGAAGAGGGGTAAATTTTGGACTTAGTAGGAAAGATACATAGTAGCTGAAAACAACTGAAAGCAAGACAGCTTTGGTGAATTGAAAAGAGGAATGATGATGAAATGATGAAAAGCCAGAGAAACGATGAGGAAATTAGAAAGGTAAGCCAGTGCTGTCACTTCACTTTAATAGCCCAAACAGAAGAATCTACTACCATTGGTGAGGGAAAAAAATCCAACCCAGGAATTTGGGGGGAAACAACCCAGAACAGGCAAAGACAGAGTAAAAAGAAACAGAGGGAACTTTGTCCTCAAGTTCTAGAACCATGGACAAGTCCCATAAAGCATATGATTCTAAGATAAGGATTCAGCTGAATTGGAAAAAAACACTTTAACGAAGCCTGAGAATAAGTACAAAGTTACACTAATTGGAGGTTAAAATAAAGTTTAACAAGAAATGCAATACACTGGAGTCTAGGCTAAAAGCTTGCTTGACAACACTATCAGTGATGACCATTTGATGTTTAGGTTTGGCTGTTTTAACTGAGTCATCTCTTGTTTAAAATAATGACTGGAAAATCCATGTTATAAATCAGCTGAACCTGAAACACAGAAAATACTCCGGAGTAGTGGAAGGACCTCTTAAAAGGAAGACAGAAGGCCCATAGGATTCAAGGGTCAATGATCTCTATCACTAATTAGCCTAATCTAATCACAAATTAGTGATCTCACATAGTATATGTCACTTTATTTCTCAATCTCAGTTTCTTTCATTTGCAAAATGAGGATATTGGAAAATATCTTAAGTCCCATCTACCCCAGGCACTCCAAGTTTTATGTTCAGAAAGACAAGGTGCAATTCTCTAACAAAGTACAGAAGTGCTACTCCTACTGCTGCCTGAAAACCCCAACACAGGTGAGAGTCTTTCACATGCTGAAAATCTCTTACTGGTTAAACCCGTAAAACTAAACAGATAGTGTGAGAGCAACAATTATCACAAACATGGGCAAGAATGAAATCATTTTCATCAAGGCATTATAGGTGTTTCCTTTAAGGGAAAAAATTAAAACAAAACAAATTAGGAGGAAATATTCGGCGCAGTTCAGAATTTGTTTAAGCTATAATTTGTATAAAGCTCTTTACTAAATGTTGGGAAGACACAAAATTTGGAGGAGAAAAAGTAGATGTCCTCAAGGAATTTTCAGTCTAATAAGGAAGTATGCCACGCACAAAGGGATACAGAAAAGGACAATTTCTAGTGATTTCACTGTAATAGAAGATTTCCAAGTAGAAAAAAACTTCCTCTACTAGTGTAGACTGATACTTCATCTGCCTTGAGACTTGAACTCAATCTTCAAGACTTCAAGTCTGGCCTGTCAGATGGGGGTGGAGGGTGGAGAAAAGAATGGGATTTGTAGGTATCTAAGATCCTTTTCATTCCAAATTTATGATCATATAAATACCAGTTAAAAAGGTACAACACTGGACAAAGGATTTTGTCAAAGTGCTATTTGAGGAGCAACACAGAGAAATCTGGAAGGACCCTCGAGGAGTGGATGTTACTATACAAATGTTATATGGTGGTTATGAGCAGGATGCAACATAGAATTCAGAAAAACAAGAGTAAAATGTGTGGTCAAAGAATTGTATGCTCAAGAAAAGATTGGCTGGCCATGAGTCAAAGATAAGGGATGAAAGGTAGACAGCCAAAATGTTCCACTGGTACATACTCAATAGTCAAGGATAGGAGAGAAAGGCCTTCTGTTGATTTCTTAGACATTCTGTGGCAAATTTATGGGAGAATATGGGCAAGAGCAGGCACAGGATGGTCAAGTGTAGATGGCCTATGATCTATATCAATGGACTGAAGTCCTAAACAGAAGAGATCACAGACTTGAGTATTTCAGTACATGAGGTCCAAGGGGGTTATTGCTGGGGGTGGATAAGTAGATAACTTTCATGGAGGGACTGATGTGATGATGGAAGTTCAGCATTAGAAGGAACTTCTGGAATCATTTACTTAAGCCAATATCTGAGAGGGAAATCCCTTTAGAAAATTTCCAACAAGAGGTATCTACCCTATGTTTGAAAATCTCCACTAGCTGAGGATTAGATGGCCTCTTAAAGTATCTTCTAGCTCTAAATTAACAGTCAAATGGAAGCACACTATTCCACCTTTACTGGGCTTTAGTCATTAAGGAATTTTCTTTTCATTAAGCTTTTCCTTTCTCTGCAGCTCTGGGCACCTGCAGTGCCCATTCAAGCCAGATGTACTGGCCTAACTCAATGGACTGCTCAGCCAGCTGTACATCATAATCTTTGCAATGTGCATTCTTCACCTGCTTCTGTGATTCTAATCAAGGAGTTCAAGAGACAAGTTAACATAGTAAAGAGAGACCACTTATGAAAGAAGAGTCTTTGAGGCTGTTTTGCATATCCTTTCTTAGAAGAGAGAGTTTTATTGACGGTGGTAATGGTATTGTTAAATGACTATGGTATAAAAAACCATAAGCATCAAAAAGATACCAACAAAAAAAACCAATAGCTGGATTGGGGTAGGGTAAGATGGAAAGGGAGAAAGTTAGAGGAAAATTAAAGTATGCTTCAGCATGGTTTGAAAATTGTAAAGTATATCCTGGACTAAAAAGCGATGAGACACTGATTGGCATGAATGATGCCTGAATGATTAATGATTACCCCTTCCACATTGTGGGGGTTAGTGGCACAGCACCCCTGTGATCTGGAAAATCCATGTAAAACTTTGTGGCTCTCTCTTTGAATTCAGAAATCAAATAATGCCCCATAAAAAATCTAGGTTTCTTGAGCATAGGGTCTTTCATTTTTGTTTTTTTATCCCCAGCTCCTAGCACAGTACCTGGTACTTCATTAAAGCTTATAGATTCATTAATTAAGATCATAAATTACACTTTTTTGTTCCATAGCTCAAGGATATTCAGTTAAACAAATGAAGCACTGTCTTAGGCTTCTAAGTTCTACCCAGGCCTTGGGCACTGAGGGGCTGATGGTGTTGCATAGTGTTAATTAGGTAAAACCCCACCAATAGCCTTTAGTAATAGAACCCAGGAACATGGATGAGTTAAATGCACTCTTATTTGTTTTAAGAAGAATCTAACATAAACAAGTATCAAAAAGGGAGGGAAGGCAGTACTCTGAATTTGAGGACTGTTGTTATAAAGACTTGGTGAGGGTTGAGGGTTGGGAAGGGGGGTCCTCAAGGCCAGGAAGCTGGAGAGTTGCTTTGCTGCCATTTTGTTTTGATTTTCAGTGAGTTGATCTCTTCAGGGCTTGAACTTACATTTGGGGACAGTGTGTACCTCACCTAAGAAAAGCACCTACTATGTGTGGGCAACAAAACTCAATTCTATGTTATTTCTTTGCTACTTTTTTTTCCTTTCGATTCTCTCCTTTAATCATCCTATATATTAAAAATACAAACCCAATAATTATATCATCCAAATCTATGATTTATCACCTATTTTAACAATATTTAGGACATATAATATTCACCTTGGGTCAAAGATAAGTGAGTAACAAAAATGAAAAGTATGAAGTTAGTACAAAGGAAGCATTATAAAAACATCTCTACAAGGCATCCAGATTTATTTTTGCCATAACAAAGGAGCTGAGAATGAGAAAGTATGAATAAGAATGAAAAGCAGGTAGAATATTGGATCAGATGAGCCATTCCTATGGTTAAGATTTTATCCCATCACAGTATATTTACTCACTTAACAGATTTATTTTTATTAGGTTCTATTTACATATGAAAGTATTTTTCTATTTAGGCTGTAAAATGCAGAATTATTCCCATAATAGGTCCATTATGTTCAATTTATTTTCTGCAAACAGATTTGTTCTTTTCAATGTCTGTTTTCAAAGTTTCAGGAGTCCTACATAAAACGTGAATTCCCATAATATCATAATTATAAACCTTTTAGAAAAGCCTTAATACTGTTTAGTTACACAAATCCCTTCATAAGGCTTAAAAGAATAAAAAACACCTAATTACTCTTGCTCTGCTCCCTTTTCCTTCA